CCTCCCTCCCTCCCCCCCCCTCTCTCTCCAGTTGACTGTGGTCGTATGCCGAGGACTACATGTCAAAAAGACGGAAGGTGTGGGGTAAGATCTCCGGATAACACTAACACACACACACACACAGACACACGGCATTCATTCCGGGGTTCAAAATCTCATCCGTGAACCAACACATTCCTCGTTTTCACAACCGGGAAATTTTCAAACTCACATCCGTGATCCGACAGAGGGCTCGAATCGCCGGTCCTCGGTAAACGTCTTCTTTCCCCGTCATATCTTTAGTTAGGCTAGGACACAGAAGACAAGGCTCGCCTTAACACAGATGCCAGGAGGCCTGGGGTTCAGCCATCCCAACGTTGGCTGTCTCAGAGGTAGACAGCTGCCGTGAGTCCTCCCTGGGGCAGCCCTTGAAGGCAGCCCGGAAGCTTCAGCTGGTACGAAGTGCGGCCAGGAGATTTTTTGGACCTGTTTGGTGAATTCTGAGATCCATTGCAATTGTTATCCTACAGTTTGAGGGGGGGGGGTTTCAAACTCAGGGCCCCATAGACTGCATCTGGCCCAAGGGGTGCTTAGATCTGGCCTGTGGTGACATCTGGCTTCCACGCCTAAAGCAGAACTAGAACTCGCAGTCCTCCACTATCTATTCCCATGATGGCGAACTTATGGCACGCATGCCACAGGTGGCACATGAGGCATTGCCCTGTCAGCTTCAGCATGCTGGCCAGCTAACTTCAGCCTTAAGGCTGTTTTTTGCCCTCCGTAGCACAAAAAATGGCCCTATGGGCAAACTGGAAGTCAATTCCGGTTTTCACGTAGGCCCGTTTTCCGCCCTCCGGAGCCTTCAGGCGGCTTCCCTGAAGCCTCCGGAGCACGAAAAACAGCCCTAGGGCCAAAACGGAAGTGACTTCCAGTTTTCACGTAGGCCCGTTTTTCGCCCTCCGGAGTGTGAAAAATGGCACTGTGGCCAAACCGTACGTCCGTTCCAAAACTTCTGGTTTGCCCATAGGCCCGTTTTTTGTCCTCCAGAGCCTTCAGAGCATGAAAAACAGCCCTACTGCCAAACCGGAAGTGACTTCATTTTCACGTAGGCCCATTTTCCCCCCTCCGGAGCGCGAAAAACGGGCAACCCAGAAGTCCGTTCCCGGATTTCCGGTTTGCCCATAGGCCTGTTTTTTGCCCTCTGGAGCCTTCAGGAGGCTTCCCTGAAGGCTCTGGAGTGCGAAAAACGAAACTACAGCCAAACCGGAAGTCCGTTCCTAAACTTCCGGTTTGCCCATAGGCCCGTTTTTTGCCCTCCAGAGCCTTCGGACTTCCCTGAAGTCTCCGGAGCACGAAAAACGGCACTACGGCCAAACCAGAAGTCCGTTCCCAAACTTCCGGTTTGCCCATAGGCCCGTTTTTTGCACTCCAGAGCCTTCAAGGAAGATCCTGAAGCCTCCGAGGGCTGTTTTCACCCTCCCCGGGCTCCTAGAAAGCCTCCGGAGCCTGGGGAGGATGAAAAACGGGCCCATCACATGCCAAAAGCGGGTGGGGGAGTCATGTGTGCATGGATCTCCGCATAGTATTATGGGTGTGGGCATGCCCGTGCACGACCCCACTGCGCTCCCCCTACTTTTGGCACGTGACGGGAAAAAGGTTCGCCATTACGGATCTAGTCTGATGCATTATCCGTTGCATCAAGCTATCTCTCATCAAACTGTGTTTTATTTTGTAAACGTTCTGTTAGTTTAATTAGAATATTAAAATCGGGGGAAATGTTGCTTTCCCAGGATAAATGTTTCTGCTTAGGTTTTTTTAAAGGGTGCCCAGGAGACCGAGCTGTGGCTGCAATCTGCCTTAAGCAGGATAATTGGTTCTCCAGGAGACGCCGGATGCGAAAAACAGGCTTGTTTCAACCTGCAGAAGACAATCCCATGGTGACCGAACGGATTCCGGAAAGTGATCTATAGGCTTCTGGGTGGCAAACAGAGTCACCCCATGCCTCCAGAGGTTGTGAATGCTCCAACACTGGAAGTTTTTAAGAGGAGATGGGAGAACCATTGGCCTGGAGTGGTCTAGGGCAGGGCTTGCAAACTTCTGGCCCGTGGGCCAGATGTGTCCTGCGCTGGCCACGCCCACACCTGGTTTAGCGAAGGGGGGGAGTTGCAATATGCCATGTGACGCCGCCATGACAACGCGAGTTTGACACCTGTGGGATAGGGTTTCCTGCCTGAGCAGGGGGGTGGACTAGAAGACCTCCAAGGTCCCTTCCAANACTTTCAACCGCTTTCAAGGTTGCAATGCACTTTTAACAACTTTATTTATGAAGCAAGAGAATAGATTAATTTATGACATGACAAATATGAATTTATTCCAGATCAAAAGGCAAGTATATTCATCTGGGAATCAATCTTACTACAACTTACATTTGA